TGCCCATCAGCCAGGTGGGCTCTCAGCCCCTCTCTTGAGCTGGGGTCTGCTCAGCTGGGGAGGGGCCACACAGCATGGGGTTTTCCCTTAACGCTGTCCCTGCCCGGCTAAACACCACCCCACCACCTCCTCCCTCCCCATGAGTCACTGCATCTGAGCAGCAGTGGAAGAAAAGAGTAACCTGCCATGGCCCTATCTCTGGCCCCCTGAGCTGGGGTGTGCCCAGCTGGTGGGGCACTGCAGCATGGGCTTTTCCTTCACTACTGTGCCTGCATGAATGGGCTCACCAGCCAGCTGGGCTGCACAGCCAGGCAGGTACAGCATTGGAGGAAAAGCCCCCACTGTGCGGGCAGACCCTAGCTGGGCAGACCCCAGCTCAGGTGGGGGCTGAGGCCATGGCAGGGACCTCTGTCCCATCTCCCCCACCGCCTCGCCATTCAGGGCAGCAACTTGGCGAGGAGGGGAGGGGTAGCTGTACAGCCTGGCTGGCTGGCCAGCCCAGCCAGACAGGGACAATAGTGGGGGAAAAGCTCCAGCCACAGGGGCCTCTGCTTTCCCTGGTCCCCTTCTCCTGCCGCAGCACAGCTGGGGACAGATTCTGTGCTGGCTCCCCGCTCTCTGTGGCTGACAGCAGGTAGTTGCGGGTGTTTGCTGGACAGTTAATCAGGGGAGGCCTGTACTTGGCTAGGCTTGGCTGCCCTCAGCAATATCTGGCAGGCTGGGATGCATGTGGGAGTGCCCCCATCTTCTGACCTTGGCCACTGCAAGCAAATGCCCATCTCCTCCAAACAAAAAGTGCATGCAAGGTCTGTTTGCTCAGGATCTAATCTATGCATCTTAGAGAAATCCACCTAGATTGGATATGCCTTGGGCTTTTTGAATGTCTGTACTTAGCCCATTTTTCTCTTGAGGAGCTGCGTATTTCTTCAGTGCCTCATTTATGCCTGTTTTAGCTAACGGCTGCATTCCTGTGTTATTTTATGTTTAAATATAACCTAGTTTGGCAAGTCACTGAAGTCCTGAAAGTTCCTCATCTTTGTTGCAGACACTACTTGATCTAAGTGCCAAAAAAGGTCAGTACAGTACCTTAGAAGTCAAGTTGTTTACATTCTAGATACTATGCAAAGAAGTGAATGAGTCAAGGCCATTGCAGGCAGATTAAATGAGGCCACATTTTCCTAGTTAAACTTAAAATGTTTTTGTTTTTGCCAACTGTGGTGTTTGTGGTGTCATTTCAAAATCCAATGAAATTCCCTTATTTAAGCCCTTTCTTCCAAAATGTTTCATCAGTCAAAATCCCGAAGGGCCCTGTCATAGGATAATTGCAACTTGGCACACCAACAAAGGGTATCCAAAGGTCCTTAGCTTCCTTATCTATGCTGTGGGTAGGGATGAGAGCCATTTTATTAGCTGAGATATTGTTACCCTCATCAGATAAAATACTGTTTTGTTGCTTTGATGTTTTCTGTCACTGGAACAGAGCTGACTGTCTCAACTGCATATTTAAAGGATGGCTGCAGTGGCAGCATATGTTGCTTAACAATAATGTTGTCTGGAAACATCTCGCAAAAAGAGGTAAGCGGAGTACTAATTGCATTTTATCAGAAAGAGAAAGAAAAAAAATGAACACAGTTTCTGCTGCAGTTACTTCCAGTCAAGAGATAATTGCAGAGTCATCTTTCTTGTCTACATTCCTTTTCCTCAGGGAAAAAGATAGCCAGAGACTAAATTCCTTCTGAGTGGAAAGCTAATTGAGAAACATACCCAAAAAACTGTTAACAAAAAACATAAAAAAATAGCCCATACCATATTATAAACTCATCAAAAGTGAATACATTAAAATGATAATTTTGGGTAACTTATATTTCATTGCTTAGATTTCAGGGTTCTTCACAATAAAAGCAAATATTACAGCACTCAGAAATATATACCTGGCTTCTACATGCTTGGTTAGATCATGAAGACCTTGAAGGCTAACATAAAAATCTGTCATGCAGAGCAATATGCAAACCCATTTAATTTTCTATTGAAATCCTTCCTGACACAGTGGACTACTTTTGAATTCCAAAACAGCAAGCCTGTTATCTGAACTCTGAAGGTGGATAAGTCTACTTCTCGACATCCAGGCTTATCTCAGTACATGATCACTTTGGCAATAATTATGTGAAGTGATGTAGGACTTAAAAATTCAGCATTTGCCATCAGCTAGCGAACAGTTACCACAGATACAGAGGAGAGCTGTAGTGTTTCCGAGAGCAGTGTGAGATGAATGCTGCCAAATGTTGGCTTTTGAATGGCGACTGGGGTAGCCTAGGGAGTGCGATATGCTTGTGTAAATCAACTAGATAGTTTGGAATGGAGCTCAGTATAATCAAAGCTGTCAAAGGTCCTCCCAAGCCTAACAGCCCCTGGGGCTAACCTGATTAAGACATGACAGTTTCTGTAGCCAGTGGAGAACAAGGGAGAGATATGGCTAACATTTTGTCTAGCTGTCTTTGATTTGCCAGCCTGAATGATTAGGTAGCCTTTTACAGCTCATAGTCCAGCAGTAGGGATCAAATTCCAAGCTCTGGAGCCAGAGAAAACTACTCAACTTCTCTGGCCTACTTGCCATTCAGCAGATTATACTGGAAACAATAAGTGCTCCACCCATAACACCCAAACACAGAGGCTGACTGGGGTGGAAGAGAAGAAAAAGGACTTGAGCATGGGATCAAGATTTTGAGCATTTTCTGATTTCAGCGTTTTCTGCTGATACTGCCGCAGACTTTTAGTGTGACATTGAACAAATCAGTCAGTGCCTTGGTTCCCTTTCTGCAAAATTCCTTTCTTCTACTTTGTCTGTGTCAAGTATGAGCTCCTTAGCACGAGTGCTGTCTTTATATTCAGAATTTAGCACAATGGGACCGTGATCTCACCTTGGAGCTTTTAGGTACTACCGGGCAGTTATGCACCCTGGCTGGTCGTGGCAGCTTGGTCAGCAGCACAATGGCTGTTATTTCTGTGCTCCCCCTTTGGGCAGCATCTGAGGCTGGTGCTCAAACCTCTCCCTCCTTATTTACACTACTATTTTTGTAAAACAATCGATGGTATTTATAATAGAAATGAAATATTCTAGATTTCCTTCAAAAGGTTTTCCACAAACAACTCTTTAGCTGAAAGAAAGAGGCAAAGGCGTGTGGCCTTTTAGGCTAAATACAGATGTTCAAAAAGCCCCTGGTGGAAGCACTCTTACAATTGTGCTTTATTTAAAGCAGGGGCGGGCAATTATTTCAGATGGAGAACCACTTACCATGTTTTGGCAAGCTGTCAAGGACCACATGGGTAGCCCCACCCCTTGACAGGTGTTCGACCCCCACAGAAGACTAACTATTCCCAAAGACCCTAGAGTCAAAGTATCCTGTTCATTCAAAAAGCCTTCCCAGCAGAGAGGTGACTTTCTCTGCTCTCTAGCTTCCTACTGCAAACACAACAGGACGTTCTGATTTAAACCCAAACAGAATGCAGCATATAACCCCTGGGAGGGGGCTGGGTGGGCCTTGCTTCTGGGCTGCTGAGTTCTGCCAGCTTCCCCTGGGTCCTACTGCCCCTGCCTTCTGTCATCTTTGACAGGAGGCCAGGAGCAGATAAATATTAATTTTCTGTATTTTTTAGGGGTCCTGCAGGCCAGATAGAATAGGTTGGTGAGCTGAATCCAGCCCACAGGCTATATTTTGCCTACTTCTGATTTAAAGTGTTATAAATTAGAGTGAGAGTGAACTGAGAAGATATTTGCTGTTTGCTGGCAGGGGATTGAAGCCTGCCTCCAATGGCCAAGGCCAGCAGGCAAGGTGCATTCCTGTACACCTCTCAGGAGGCTGCCAGAGTGACCCCTTTCCCAAGCTCTGCCCCCTGCTAGCTGGCAACTGTCAGCAGTGGCTCTGGGGGAAGGACAGGAAGGGATGGAACCCCTGTGCTACACATCCCATAGACTGCTAGGTCAGGTCTTGGGGGTCCTGGGTTGGGTCTGTATGGCAGAGGGGCTTTCTCCCTCTGCCTCAGCTTCTGAACAGCTGAAGCCAGCCTCTGTAGCATGAGACTGTGTAGCTTAGCTTTTGGCCATGCCAGAAACTAGGCGTGAGAGCCCCTCTGCTATACAAACCCAGCCCAACACTCAACCCAGCAATCTGGGATTACCTGCATGGCACTGGGGCTCTGTTCCCCCACCCCCTGCCTGGTTGTGCAGAGGAAACAGAGGCTTTTCTGTCTCCTCTCTGTGACAACATGGGGGTGGGCCTGAGCTAGTGTTTACCTGGAAGAGACAAGTACTGGCTAGGGCTAGCAAGCTGCCCAGCAAGGGGTCCCTGGAATGCTGGGGGAATGCATCCTACCTTGACTTAAGGCACCTGGCTGGGGTCTTATGACCCCTGCCACCCCCCAGTGCTCCTTCCTGCCCATGGCAGGGGTTCAGACTAGATAATCTGTCTAGGTCCCTTCCCACTCATTGATTCTATGATTCTCTGACTTGGGGTGGGATGTGGTACTGATGTTTGATAAAGCATTCAAATCTAAAGTACTTTAATCTGATACCACATCCATCCAGAGTTACCTTACCGTCAGATCCACCATTTTAAAAACAATTTATGTGCTGTGAATGTTTATTCTGTTATGGCTGTAAAACACTTTGTGCATGCTGAACGCATGATAAGTATAACTTTTGTGCCTAGGTTTGAATAACTTGAGCCCTATTCACAAAAGAAGCTGAAAGTAGAACCTCAAACCTGTGGACCCTCTGAATTCAACTGAGCATGGGGCATTCTGTTGAAGCTCCTGAGACTTTATAGACATCTCCACTTTCTGAACTCCTTTTCAAGACCCGTGTCACTGTCCCAGTTTCCTTGGACTTGCACAGGCACAGCCAAGGTTTGTCCACCACTAATTTGTGTCTCCTTGGTTTTTATTAATTTTAGTAGATTTATTGGTATTGAATCATGCACAACCTTGGAGTAGACTGTTAATCTGTTGGGAAAAGGAAGAGTTCATCGCTGAAACTTCTCTAAGCATATACCACTTCAGACAGCACTGGATATGAAGCAATTCTAACAACAAAAAGAAAGGTAGTGGATGGTGCTTTGAGAATTCTCTGCAATTTTTAACTATCAATAGGTACCTAGAGATTACTATAATAAATGCTTTAGAAATATTAAATGACATAATATGAAGAGTTTCACAATATTTGTTTTTTCCTAAAGTTCAAACTCCTGGAATGAGCTGACTGCATGACAGTTTCTTAAAAAATAACCATCTAGTCTCCATGTCTAAGAAAAGTCTCACAAATAAAAAGGCAAATAGAAGCAATCCTAACAAGTAAAGAGAAATCTATGCACATTATTAATATCTAATTTTGGGGTTTTTTTTTCTTTACAGCTTAACTTGGGAATGTATGTTGGCAATACCACTCCTGTTAACCAAGGTACTGTCACTCCCTTTTTGCTGTTCTGAATATTATTTTGTTTTTTATTTCTCTCTCTCACACACATGTACATATGTATACTTTGAATTTCCCATACAGTAGAATTCTTTCAAAGCAATAAAAATACAGAATTACAGAATTATTCTAGTAAACTATTTTTAAAAATTCTTTCTTAAAGCAAGCTGATGTATAGTAAGCCTCAGTAACTGGTATCTGGGAAAGCCATGGTCAGAGACTTATTAATTTTATTATTTCTAAGTATTCCTTCAACCACTGCAACATTCTGACTTCTAGGTCAGTCTGACTAACATCTGACATACCTAGCTCATATTTTTCTGTGTGCCACAGAGAACTTAACTATCTGAGGTTACCACCTGTCTAACTTTATTTGAAAAGATGGAAAAGATTTTCCTTGTTGTTTCTTTTTGCTCTGGATTGCAGAGATGCATGCACCTGGCTGGAAGCAGGCTGCCAGCAACAAACCTATTTCTCTTTCTTTCCCATCCACATTTACTAGTAGGGTGGCAGAAAGAGGTACTGAATTGGCATCTGGCACGTAATGGTACAACAAAGAATTCAACTGGAATTGGGAACAGTTGTATGTCAGGAATGGAGAATACAATGTAAAATCATAAACTGCCACAATGAAATGTAGCAAAGAGAACCAAAACACAGAGATAAAAAGAACCTTGGATGAACAGAATGCATAGTATTTATACACACTGCCACTTAATAGAGGATTATTCAATTAACTAATAATTAAATCTTCAGTCAACGTAGTATGCTTAAAAAGGTGAAGGATGGGAGCCCAACAACCATCTCTTTGCATCAACAGATGTAAAACTGACACATCTGCCTTCCTCCAAACAGGCAAATTGGCTCTTCAGTATGTTTCATTTGTTCTCTTGCCAATGGCTGATCTCTTGTCAATTCAGTCACAAACTTGGATGAGAATGAGATAGTTTGATGACATATTGGTTTCTGTGTTTTATCTTTGACATGCAAAATTATATATTTCAATGTATTTGGTAAGAATCTTTTCCCCTCCCAAAATCTTTGCAGTGATTAGACTGTGGGTTGAATTCCCATGTGGCATTAAAAAGCATAGCTCCAATGAGCAGCAAGATTTTATGCCAATTTATATCAGCTGGGGATTAGATCCATTGTTTTTCTGCATATTAACATAGAAAATATTTGAATTAACTGGGGGCTTAGCTGTCAGTCCTGTGTTAAAAATATTTAATACATTGTACATGACTGCCTAAAGAAATGCCATTGAAAGAAGCCTTATACCACTACAGAAAAACAACTCAACCACCACCCAACAAATAAGAAGGAACAAAAAAGATAATAGCATTTCCTGACGCAACAGTTAACTCCTATGAATATTTTTAAAATGACAGAAACAGTACAGTAGTTACTTTTTAACATGCACACTAAGTACCTTAAAGGCCGCATGCTCCATTTTTTACAAGTTACCACAGTTCCACACTTTTTACTGAAGTACAATATATAAAGAGTCTTAATAAATAGAGGCAAGACGATCCAGTGGTAGGGTACTAGTTTGGGACTCAGTAGTGGGTGCCTCTACACATATGCTTTGATGTGCATTAGCCTATTCTAATTAGCATTACAGTGTCACTAAAAAAACCCGTGCTAGTTAGATAACGCTCATTAAAACAGGCCAGTGTGCATTAAGCATTACTTAAAAATGTTGCTCTTCTGTTAATACCCATTAAGACAGGCTAATGCACATTTTCCTAGTACTTCACAAGATTTCATGCATATTAACTAAACCGTGTTAATGCACGTGTATCAGGCACAGAATTTTCTTCTTGGCCACTAGGCATTACTGATTTAGACAAATCCACAAAAGGATTTAGGTACAAGTCAGACTTTTGCAGAGTTTAGAATTTAGGGATGTTTATACATGTGCCCAGGAGGGAGAGGGGGGTGCTTTAATTAAAGTGCCTGGAGCATCCTGTGTATCAGTATCCTCATGCTGAAAAATAGTGGTGGGGCACTTTAACTAAAGAGTCCCTGCCCCCATTTTTCAGTGTGGGGACACTGATACACATGACACTGGAGTCTGCTGGAGTGTGGTAATTACCTAAGCCCTAAGGAACATGCTTCATAACTCATGCCTAAGTCCTAAGAAACAAGCCTCATAATTCATGACAAAATTTTCACTGTGATTTTCTAGATGCATAAAGTTCTGCTTCTGCACATGCCTAGAATCCCATCAGTCTTGTTAATGATGAGCAGTTTCATCCCTGTCTAGCACTAAGCTCCAGCAGGATCTGTGAACTAGGAACTAGATGCTATTCCACGTATTAGGTGTGTAAGTGGAGATAGGTACATAAGCACAATCCTATGGGACATGCCTTGATTCCCTGAAAAACTGTTAATGCAAAAAGTGGGTGAGTCATCTTCCTCACTGTTATTTGTGACTCAATCTGAAGGGTGAGATGGTGGTATGTTACAGAAGTAGATACAATTAATAGATTTTGCAGAGACCTGAAAAGGGTAGAATGGAATTGCAGATAAGTGCCAAGATGCCAGTCCCCTTAGATACCAAATAGATGGAATAAAATCTGACTCTACATGTTTCTTAATGGAGCTCAATTCTGTCAGCACGCTTCATGCCTACTACACAGCTACAGGATCAGGCCATACATATAACACAATAGCAGACACTTTTATTTAAAAAAGCACAGAAAAAGGAAAAGGCTATAGTGGTTCCTCAACATTTACAGAGTAACCTGGTGATTAGCACACTTGCCCATGATGTGGGAAAGTGTGGTTCAATTTCCTCATCTGCATGATGGATATAAAAAATTTGTATCTCACACAGGGCAGGAGACTGCCCTAACTACCAGCCTACTGGCTATTCTAGAGCTGGTGTACACTTAATCCCTTCTGTTAAAACTAATTCAGTTCGCAGAAAAGTATTTAAGTTCCTTTTAGCCAGAAGGGGTGAGAAAGAAAGTAAGCCTAACTCTCCAGCCTTGTAGACAACACTTGCCTGGGGGCCTGGTCCCAGTTTCTGCTCCGAAGATTATTTATATATTTCATTCAATGATTGAAAAAAATGATTTTGCTACAGAAATGAAAGGAATAGGCTGTATTTGGCTGCTTAAATACCAGGAGGCTGATTTTTAAGAGCTGCTGAGAACCTGCTGCTCCCACTGAAGTGCAAATATAGATGTAGTGCTTACATTTAGACACCTGGGAATGAAAACTTCCGTGCGCTTAAATGTATTCATCTGTACAGTAGATACATTAATGTTTACCTACCTCAAAGTAGTAAGATAGAATAGCTAATTAACATGGTAAAGTGTTTTTATGTTTACCATGGCTGCCTCATACTGCCTTACTAACTATAAAGTAATGCGATATTAATATATATATATCTATATATCTTAAACATTAAGATAGTGATAGATTCTAGAACATTTCTGATACTACTTTAGGTTTTAAAATATCTTTTGCAGAACCTGATATTTCAGAACTGATAGGCAATAGTTTAGCCTCCACCATTTAAACTCTGGAATTATGATTTCAAATCTGTTCCCAAATTCTTGGATCATACATTTTTATCAACATTTTAACAAACTACCTCCTGTCCTTGCAGCGGCAGGACACAAACAGTGCCCTTGTCCCCCTGCTTTATCTGTGGATAGTTAAAGGGTGTTTTTGATGCTTCAGGCATTATGCCAGGTATATGCGTGGGGTGTTCCCAGAGCTTTTAACAACAAGTTAGACAAACACGTACACAGGGAGGATCCTGCCTTCAGTGGGGCATGGGACTCCCGAGTTCATTCCAGTCCTACTTTTCTATGATTCTCATATACTGTGCATGTCTACACAAGACACTAAATGCACAATAGACTAATTCTCCTGCTCATCAGCGCGGCAGGCAAAAACCATGCTAATGTGGTGACATGCAATAGAATGTCTACTGTGTATTTGTGTCACAAAAAAGGGCACGCTGGCACTACTGCACAGTAGTGCCAATTACAGCAAATTAAGTTAGTACCTGTTATTACAGGTACTAAATTTAATGTGCCATAGCTGCAGTGCATCAATGAACATGTAGAGACATGCCCACTCTCTCTCTAATATTCCACTGATTCTGGAGGATGATAGAAGTTAAAAATCTCTGAAGTGTATGAGGTTTAAAATTTGCTCAGCATTATTGTCAAAGTGATTCAAGAACCAGATAAGTGGGAGCATAAACCTCAAAGTTATATTATCAGCAGCTTCCTAAGTGACTAGCCTGAATAGGCAGAAGATATTAACTGATTTGGCAGCCAGATTCCAGTGAGTGGAAGTGACAACATCTGCTTTTCTGAATGCTTGCTTTCCAATATAGGAAGTGTGACTTTCTGTTACTCTCTCAAGCATATGGCAAGCAGCACTGCAAAAAACAGGAATCTCCTGTGTGAGCTAATGTTATTTTCTTCCAGGAACTGGACTGAGATTCTTGTAGTATGGACAGAGCGTCCTCACAATTCTTTCAAGTCAGCCATCACCTAATTTCAATATAGCATTGTTTTCACAGGAAAATCCTTCATGATACACAAAATGAAACCCATTATATCTCTTTCATGAACATGGCTTAAAGACAGAGAACAAAGACTGGCACAAGAGGTACAAACAGGAGAGCTGGAGAAAAGTGAGAAGAGATGGCATCGAGGGAAAAAAATGTTTCTTTAAAAGGGGCTACTAGCTACTGATTTTATTATCATCTCCACACAGGCTACTAGCCCCTTTTGAAGTGGGACAAGCACGTAGGTAGTAAACAGTAAAACACTGTTTAAAGCTGTCATTGTGTGACACTTCCATGTGACACCTTAGCTTGTGTGACAGCTGGATGAGGAAGCAACCCTGTAAATTATTTTGGGTGGGTGAACCACTGTACCAACGCAAAGACTGCAGACCCATAAAAGTGAGTTTGAACAGGATATGGAAGAGACAAAAAATGGTCAAAGGTCCACAAGAAGTGAAGCCATGTAATAATGGTGAGACTGCCTGGCCTATAATTACTTGGATCCTCCTTCCTCCCCTTCTTGAAAATAGGGACTACATTGGCCCTTTTACAGTCCTCTGGGACGTGACCTGAGTGCCATGAGCACTCAAGCAGCTGTGCCAATGGTTCTGCTATGACACCGGCCAATTCCTAGCAGAACTACTTTGTGTACAGGTGATTTCAGGCATCGCCATGTTGGCCAGTCTAGATCAGTCCATCTGGAAAGGTCCTTCTGGGGTTCCAGGTCCATTTCAGAGCACTTGATCATGCATAATCTTTCCTTCTATAATATCAGTCTTTCCCTGTCAGCCATTGCGTCTACAACACTGGCCACAAAACTCCTTTGAGGTTTAATCAATTTCATTATTTCTGGGTGACCGTATAGTGGATGCCTGGGGCTTTCCATCTGCCTTGATCTTTCTTTTTGGCTTACTACCTTTCTTCTGATATTAGGTGGTATAATGCCAGCTAGTACGTACATGCTATCCTTTAGTATTGGCTTTATACATCCATTATTTCATGATGGCTGTCGTTTAGAATTAGGTCTAGTTTCTTGGAATGAACTGATTGTTCCCATACTGGACATGAACACTCTGCAGTGGGGTAATACAAGGCAATAGCAATGGATCATAACGTAGTGGGGTTTGCTCCCCACTTTGAGGTGATCAGCTTTCGAAGTATGCCGTTGTGGGCACTGTCGTCTTATCTACATGTACTTTGAAGGTAAGCGTTTGGTACAATGTAACCTCCAATTACACAGGGTTCGGGTGATTAGTCAGTGGGATTCCATCTCAGGTTCTGCTTAATTTCCACTTGGCCTCTCTATGGTGAGGTGAAAAGCTGAGACCTGCATCTTGGCTGGGTTGGCGTGAAGCTGATTCTTATTGTGGTAATCCGAGAGGTTGTTAGTCTGTTCTCAACAACGGCAAATTCCTTCTCTTGTGATGTGATGCATAAATCATCAGCATATATGAAGGAGGGGTTCCCAGCTGCAGCATCTTGCTTCTTGCTAGTTCAGAGAAAACCTGGGTTGGGCTCCACCCTGCACTAGCAGTAAGGTGCAGTGGGGTCTAATGAGCAGGGATCCTGGTTTTGTGTAATAAAAAAAAATATCACAGATTCTCTGATGATAACCCCCCCAAAATCCATGATTAATATGAAACACCACTATATATATTAGTATCAATTGAACACAATGTTTTATTTATATATTTACAATTTTAAAGGAATTTGGAAGCCTACCAGTG